ACGGGTCCCGTTTTGAAAATCTGAACCGTTAATGTGCAGAATTCTTCGAGTACTATATGCCTGTAAAAAAATCACGTTGATCGGATATCGATAATTATGTGATCAAATCAGTTTTGTATAAAAAAAAAATAGACGGTGAATAAATTAACGGTTGGCAAAAAATTGATTTGATCACATAGGTATCGATATCCGATCAACGTGATTTTTTACAGGCATATAGTACTCGAAGAGTTCTACATATTGAACGGTTCAGATTTTCAAAACGAGGCCGTGGTGGGCCCCCACGGGCCCAATAGCACGGTCCAGTCCGATGGTGGACTGGACCAAAGCCAGACCCTTAATTAAAAGAATTCGGCAATTAAAAAGTCTCAAACCACATCTCTTTGTCTTCCCAAATATTCCTTGTTTTTAGTTCATGCATGCACTCTAATATTGATAGAGAATTGGACGTTTGGGAGAGTGAGAGACATTAAAATTATATATTGAGTTATGTAATTGTTGTGATGAAAAATTAAAATTGTCTTTCTCTTCTATGACAATTTATCTGGTTATACCTCCAATTAAAATGTCAGGTGTTCTTCTACATCATCATTGAACATTGCTTTCATTTTTTTTTAGATACTTTGTCTCACAATTGTTTGTTTTTATTTTATGAAATTTATTACATCTGTGCTTGTTAAAACTATTAGATGGACCTAATACAAGAAGTGCAAATTATTTCAATGTCATTCTCAGGTTTAGAAGTACAAAAAAAAGTATATGAATAGACAAGATTTTACAAAATTTGTTTGTGAGTCTCATTTCTTGAAAATCCTATAATTTATTTATTTTTTGTATTATATTTTATATTTAATTTATGTACTTTTTATTTTATAGGTTTCTTTGTTTTCTTTAAAAGTTTATTTTTGAAAATTAATTAATAACTAAATCATTTTCTATTTTAAACAATTTTATTTTTTTATTTTTTATTTTTTCTTAAAGTAGTTTTTAGTTTTAGGCAATTACTTACCTTTTCTTTTTATATGTATTATAATTTTGTGCATTTTAAGTGCATGATGTTTTCACTAATATACTCGAAGATGCACCATGAAAAAAGTATTATGTGAAAATTAAGGAAGAAGAAGAAAAATAAATAAAACAATACGATAATGTGGAGCAAAGATCAAGATCAAAAGCCCCAAAGCAAACAAGAAAGCAAACAAACAAGGAAGTAGAATAAAATGTTTAACAATAGACATTTGAAAATTTGCAACAAAATTTTATAATTTTTCTTTTTGCTAAGAAAATTCTATTTGGTACTAGCTAAATAAAATACTTTTAAAATAGTTTTTTTTTTTTAAAAAAAATTGAAATTAAAACTATAGTAAATTTATGTACGCATAACTGCTAACCACATTTTTTCTACTTAATGTATAATATTTATATTGACTACCTTTTTCAAGTTTATTTTGTTTTCAATATTTATATAGAAATAAAAAAATATCGTTAGGAATAAATTTTTTCTTAATTTAGCCATAAATTTTGCCCATACATTATTTTTAAATTTGGAATGAAAGTAAACATAAAATAATTGATTGAAGACATGCTGCATTTGTTATATTCCTTTTTTTGTGTGCAAAAAATAAAAATAAAAATCACAATTCACATATATATAAATAATTATAAACACAACCCATGTATAACCCAGGTGAAACACAAGTATAAATATAATTTCAAACTATATTTAGGAAAGTTCCAAGTCCTAGGAAATACCCTATTGTTATAGTTAGGGCTACAAACGAATCAAACTATTCATGAACTTGGCTCGGCTTGACTCAATAATGACTCAATTTGTTAAGTAAATAAATGAGTTCAAGAATTTTAAACTCGCTTAATAAAGGAGTCGAGCTCAAGTTTGAATAAGGTAGGCTCATTTATCTTTATTTAAATTATAGAATAAATATATATATTAAAAAATATAAAAATAATAGAACAAATATATTATCTATATGTTAAATAATATAAATAATGTTTTTATTTAAATAATATATAAATATATTTTTATATATTTAAATAATAGTAAAAATATTATTATCGAGTTTCAAGTCAAGTTCGAGCTTGACTAATATTAACGAGCTGAACAAAACTCAAGTTTGATTAATTATCGAGTCAAACTCAAGCTGAATAATTGATCTCGATAAATAAACGAGCCGAACTCAAGCCTTGCAAAACTTGGCTGAACATAGTTCGTTTGTAACCCTAATTATAATTAGAAAGAGCTCTTGCAAATCCACAAGTTGAGGAATATAGTAATAGGAATTTAGAGAGAGAAAAAATAAGAAGTGTGAAATAAAATTAATTTGTTTTTTATTCACATTTTCTTTTTTATTTCATTAAATCTTGTATAAATTTAGGACTCAAACATATTTTAAAAGTCTTTAAAAAAAATTTAAAAGAAGTCTTTAGATACATGAATTCCTTTCTATACTCATTCTTTATAGGGTAATGTTATATAAATTAACAAAAATTATAAATAAAAAAAAATTTTATTTTGTCATTTATCATATTAATAAAGTAGGTCCCTTAGGAGTTGTTTGGCAAGTGAGTTGGATTAATTTAGCGAACAAAAAGATAAAATAGATTAAAAAGTTAAAATAAGAAAAATATTACATCAAAATCATAATTATTTCACTTTTCTCTCACAACTATCACATCCAAACCAAAAAAAATCAAAAATTTATTCCAAACAGATTTTTTTTAGTCAAGCTAAAATAGTAAAAAAAAATTAAAAAGCTAGGGTAAAATAGTTTCCCAAACGAAACCTAAAAAAAATTGTGAAATTTTAGTAGTTTATATAATTTTTTTTTTTAAATTCCGCACTGAGGGTTGAGATTTGCAAAAGGCAAAAATTAAAAAACAAAAATAAATAAAACTAAAGAGCTTAACGATTGTGTTATCATTTCCTAACTTGATATTGCGTACAGTTTATTTTGTAAGATTTGCCAAAAAAAAAACTTGTTCACACTAGTGAGTTTGGGTATAACTTTTTTTATTTTTTATTTTTGATTTTTTATAAGAAGACGTATAAAAAAGTAGAGATATAATGTGACAAAAATAAGTCAATAAACAACTTATTTAGTTTGTTGCCAAACTCACTAAAAATGAAGTTAATTGAATATTGAAAGTCACTTGATCAAATTAAATGTCTAAAAAATACTTAACCGACGATATCAAATGACAATTGATATCTGATCAACTCCATTTTTGACATTAATAATGTTTTTAGACAATCTTATAAAATAAATAGTTTGAATCATTCAAAAACAACATTGTTTGGTTTATTCCTCTTTTTTAAAAATTGAGTTTTTTATTTTTTATTTTCCCTAATTTTTTTTTTTAATTTTTTTAAAAAAATTAGTTTTTACATACACGTCTCTTCCATGTTTAGTAATGGAAAAGGTCCACAATATTATTTTATAATGCCTAAGGTTCCTCAACCCCACACTCATATATCACAGAGAAATTTGAGAAGAAACTAAAGAGCTTCAAAAACTATCTCTGAGAGATCTGAGCTTTGGTCTCTCTCTCTCTCTCTCTGTGCTGCATCAATGGTGTCTGCGTTGGCATCCAACAGCGATTTCTTCGCCGCAAAGTCTCTGGCGTCGTCAACCAACCGTGTTGCTTCTGTCTACAACGAGGTTTACCATTGTCGTCGTTGGCGACCAATCTACTGGTAAGTCTAGCATCCTTGAATTCCTTGCCAGAATCAGCCTCCCATACGGCCGAGGCATTTGCACCAGAGTCCCCCTTATAATGAGGCTTTAACACCGCCCAAATCCCCAGCTTGACCTTCACTTGGAGTTTCATGGCAAAGTAGTACCCACTGACGAAACCCACGTCACCGAAGCCATTAAAATCACTACGGATGAAATTGCAGGTATGGATGGATTTAAGACTTATTTACTTAATAGTATTAGATTTTGATTGTTGTTTAACATAGAGATTAGGGATGAGTACGTAGTCTGGCTAGAGAAAATCACAGGGGAGTATGTGATTTGGCCAGAGAAAATGAACAATTTCTCTGGCCATCACTTAGAGAAAATTAACACAGAAAAACAATAAACACAATTTTCTCAAGTTTGGTTAAAATAGAGAGAAAATTATAGACAAATCAAAGAAAATTCAATTTTCTTTTCTTCACAACAACTCTGCTCTCAGGTACTATTTCTCTCTCCAAAACTCCTCTCATTCTCTCTCTCTCTCTCTCTACTTCACTATTGTACAAAATTCTAAGAATGAATGTCTAGATACATGTATTATGATATGTCCTCTGTGTTTGATTTCTACTTTCAACTCCAAATTTCATTGTTCTTATTGCATTTATGGTTCTAACTTTGAATTTTTTCTGCATTAGCTATTTTTTCAACAAAATCGACATTTTTTTGGAGAGAAACAGAGAATTTCTTTGGTTTGAAAAAAATTTATCTGGGAAGCCAATTTATTTGGAAAGTCTAGAGAAATTCTCTGGATCAAATTTTCTCTAGATTGATTGAAAGGACCTTAGATATTATGAAAATATTGGATGTCCTTTGTATTATAAAATTTTAATACCAAGAACTTAAAAAAAAATATCCCCCAAAAAAATCTATAAAAAAATTCACCAAATACCAAATTTAAATAAAAAAAACAAAAAAAAAACCTCAATACATTTTCATATTTTTAAGTATTTATTAATTTTTTAAAACATTTTTTTATAAATATTTTATTTTTTAAGTCCATCTAGATTAGTGTACTTAAAACGTTAAAAATTAATTAAAAAATTTAAAATTTTTACTAAAAATTAAAAAAAAATCAATTTAAAAAAAATCAATCAAAACCAAATAATGGTAAACTTCTGCCAAATTTTTCTATCTACTCACCTTTGTTTTTTGCCTTTGTTTTTTTGTCAATAATTCCAACATCCTTAACACAAACTCAAACTGCAACTTCATAGAAAGACCAAGACGTAAATAGGTAGAGAAGACACAATTGAGGAAAGCGGGGCTCCACAATGTTATTATATTCATATTGGCATTCAAAACTGCTGCCCATGGTTCTCTGGGCTACTTGGTCCTTCCTTTCAAGCTCAACTGTTTACATATATTATTAGATACACAAAAAGAAAAGGCAAAAAAAAAGAAAAGAGAGGGACTAAAATGCTTCCTTTCAAGCAATTAAACATTGGTTAGTCACTAAATCCTAACCTAAAGCTTGCATCAATTGATGCAACAAGAATACATTTACATCTAAAAACAACTAAATCACCTAAGGATTATTAAATTAAAACCTTCCAGGAAAAAGGATGATGGATGTCATCATTCCGATCGGGACAGCCATCACCTTGACATCACCAAGCTTGTTATAGGAACAACTGAAGAACTGAACGGAGAATCCCCCATGTACTTGCAATTGTCATGATCAACTTTCAAGGATTTAGGAATGAAGAAACTGTCAAAACTACGCATTCCCACACCTTCCGGGCTGCTTCTAGTTTTATCACCCCGCCTTCTCTTTCCTGATGACTTCCATTTCAATTGAGCAAGCAGCGCATCTTTTGAAAGATCGCGGACCACTTTTAACTCTTTTACCTTGTCCACCGCTACAGAGTCCATTCGGGATTTGCTACATCGAGCTTCCTCCTTTACGAATGAAACAAGCTGTCTCATATCACACATTCCAGTTTTTTCTGGTTCAACATCGGGAGTTTTATTAACTGTAATTTGCTTCATTTCTTGGTCAGATAATATTGAAGACACAATATCTGGTCTTTCTTTAATATGTTCCCACCCATTTTCCAACCATTCTTGTGAATGTCTCAAGTCACTGCAACCAAAGATCACTTCTTGCTTCTCTCCTGCAAAAGCGAAAAAACCAATACTTAATAGCCATCTAAATTTTTCAATGCAAAGACGCAAACAGTACTGTTGGGAAATTTTGTAGTTGGTATTGTAAATTTGTAATGTTCTGGCTAAAACTTTATAGAAAAGAAAATCATTTCATACCTGGAAAATAAACATGAATTTTATCCTCAGTTTCTTTCTGACGTACAATTCCTTCCCACCATCCATCATGCCACCAAACATCCACAGCAGTCCCAGAATTTACAATCACTGGAACTTTGCCCTTATTGGATGGTGGGGATGGCCTAATAGTTGTCCTTCCACAAGTCCGGAGTCCCAATGGATCAGAAACTGCTACCTTGGAAGCTACAAGCCATTCCTACATCATCAAACCAAGAAAAATGTAAGATTGGAATCAAATTTTTCCAAATGCCAAAAATTTTATATTTTCCCATCAAAACGAAAGATAAAAAACAGAAACCAATTGGTACTAGTATATATTCACCTGAAGATTTTTAGCTTCATCAACAGCATCCTTGATGTCTTGATACTGAACCTTGACCTTATCTTTGTGCTTCTTGATGATAAGTGCTCTAAACCAACATCCTCTGAGGCCACTGTCCTGTGACAGCACTTCAACTTGAGAGCCTACGTTTAAATGTTGTGGAGGCTTTTGCACGACAGACTGCTTTACAGACCTACACGCAGCTAAGTAGTCATCCTTCGGAGTGCACATATCGGGTCCACCTTTGGAGCCAACCGAACTGTCATCAAAATCAACCTCCAAACATGGGGACAAAGACTCTTGTTTATTTGCAGGATGTGAATATAGGTCACCATCTTTTGACCGCCGAAGTCTCTTCTTAGGTCTGATTCCAACTCCACCAAGATTTCTTTCCACCTTCAAATCAAAGTCGGATGGCAGAGACTTCACAGGTTCTTTTGAAGGGGGAATTGTATACATATATCTGAGTATTTCTTGTCTCCAATAGCCTTTAATACGAGTAATGTCGAATGGCCTGACATCATCATTGTCAAACTGTCGGTGGCATAAGAATGGCTCGAACAGACTCTGTTTAGTAGCTTCATTCAGAAATTTCTGATAATGCTGGGGACTCAGGACAGAAGCCAATCCATCTATGCACTCAATGCTGAGATCTTGAAGACAAAGAGAAAAGAAAATCTCTCTGTCATTATAATTTGGAGGCAAAACAATACCAACCTCATCAATTTTGTGAAACCATCGTACCACAACCATCTTGTTGCCTCTAGAGTCCTCGTACAAGTCATCTAAATAGGCAACAAGTCGTTTGTCTTCTTCAGCCAAAACATATACGAACTCATTAACCTGGAACAAAAATCAAAAGCAGCAGGAAGGAAATTAGTTCAATGACAAATAAAACATGACTCAAAAAATAGCTTTAAAATTAGGAAACATCAAGTTAAGAATGATTAAATTGACAGCCCCCTTGAACTGCGAATATTTGAAACAAGAATTCAAGTCAGAACTTACAGAAATTTTAATACCATTCCGGCAAAATGACTGATAATGACTCCGCCTTTTCCTGCAAGTCCATGGAGAACCTAACCACACAAACTCTGCAGTATGATGGCCAAGCTTCTTTGATTGAACATCCTGAAATGAATAAATTAAAAATTAAGAAAATAAGAATATGAAAGGAACTTCTGCATAAAAACCATTCAGACATAACATAAAATGATTTGACCAGGCATGAAGTTTTAACTAATTGGTTTCTTATTCATACCTTCAAAGTTTCTACATTCAACTTGCAATGATCTTTGCTATCCAAAGAACCACAAATGGCTTCTGATGACTGATGAGGAGGCGAATCTGAAATCACAAACATAAACGTTACTACTCTATTGAAAAGTATGTATACACTAAACAAACAGCCAAAAAACTAATTTTTAAAAGAAAAGAATCTCACTGTATAATAACATAAGAAACTAGAAGATAATAAATGGATAAAACTCCAAAGAGAAAACATCATAATTCCAAGACAGAAAAAACTAATAAAACAATAAGAGGGTGAAAAAAGATCTATATATGATGACAACCACAGGCGTAGAGTTTTAGTAGGAGATACATATGAAGAAAGAACAACACAGTAAATGAAAAAACTTGATCAAGGATATCAAACAAAACTAGGCCATGAGACATTGTAGATTTTAACCTAGATTGAGGACAAAGGAATTCTGAAGCTCTCAACCAGCTCCTAGGAATTGATTTAAGATTCCTGCCACCCAGATCAGTGTCAGTCTTTCAAAGCATGAATACCAAAAGAATTCATTTGCTTATATTTGTAGGAGAAAACACACAGGTACAACAGGTTACGAGAGGGAGGCGGCGAAAAAACAAGTCCTATCCCCATGATGCTGGGGAAAAGAAACTGATTATATAATTAAATAGGGATTGATGCAGTTAAAAATTGCCAAAAATTTTGTTCATGTGGAGTCGGTGAAGCGTCACATCTTCAATTCATTTATTCAAAAGCCCATAATGGAACTCAGGCATATATCCCTTTTGCCAAAAATCTTTCCCAAACCAATAATTAAGAACTGAAAATTCAGAACTGGGAATTTGCGGAAATTCAGATAGCTTACAGCATATCTTTGGGGGGATGTTTAAAAAAATGTCTGCCCATTAAATTCTTACTTTTCATGCTGCAGCTTCATCCCTCACCACGTAGATACTTCAGTCTAATTCAAAATCTAACAATATGAATTACCTAGAATTGCCACTGAAAGTTACTGTTTATTTTAACCATTGGGGCAAAATTATAAAATTCATCCATTAAAAATCACCGCTTCTGCTTCTGCTTCTGTTACTTTTTATGTAATTAAGAACACAAAATGCTAGTACATAAATATACATATGCATATACATAATCATACATTTTGCGTCGTAATATAAATGCAGCAGTTACATAAATTGTTTATTTTAAATGGTGAATTTTACAACTTTACCCTTACAGTTAAGATTAGAAAAAATGATTTAAACGGTGAAATAATGGTTTTTGTTGGATAATATGGGATAGGTTAAAAAAAACATTTCACAACTTAAATTTGATACTCACTTTTCACTTTATACAATAGATAATAGATACAATAGATACGTATATGTGAATCTGATGACAAGAAATAATATTGTTGCCTCCACACGAAAGAAAATTCAATGAAACCTTTGATGGGGAAAACAACAGGCAAGGCTCAAGAAAAAATAAAGGGCCAAAAAAAGGAATGAAAACTGCCATAAAAATGTGCTCATAAAAGGCTCAATGGTTGCAAGCTCGAGTTGGAATTGCAATATTCCAAATTTGCAATTTTGGGAAAGAAAGGGTATTTACAATTTCAGGCCGGTGGTTTGCTCTGATTATACATAAAATTGGTTTGTGTTTACAGAACAAATCATGTAGGAAACAATTGTAATTTCCAGAGGAACCAAAGCACGATGGAATTGGAACCCCAGCAGGTAAGATCTAGAAGAGAAACAACAACAAGGCGGGGAACATAAAACGATGGGTTTACTTCTTCAAAACCCACCAAACAATAGCTAGTTCTTTACCAGTTTTATTATAAAACAACGGATCTACTACATGAAACAAATAAAATAAAAATAAAAAATAGCAAACAATCATTTCCTAGAGCATCTCCAACCCGCTTCACTACTTTTTTTCATCTAATTTTATTCCAAATTTGAGTAAAAAGCCTGATTTGATAGGAACTACTCCAACCCTTTCATTGAATTTTCATCAAAATCTTTTTAAAAGTTCCCCTCTTACCCCAAATTTTCCTTTTCACCGAATTCGATAATAAAAATCTTTCAAAAGTTTCCCTCTTATCCCAAATTTTACTGAATTCGATAATAAAAATAAAAATAAAAAAATAATTTCAAACGCTTTATCGTTTAAATTTTCAAAAAATCCAAATTTGATGAAAGATGTTTGTCCCTTGATTTTATAAATACTCGATGGAAGGTTGGAGATGGGTTTTTTTTAGCACTTTTTCATCAAGTTTAATTTTGATGGGAAAAAAAAAAGGATTGAGAAAATTCAACAAAATTACAAATTAGAGGCAAGGGGAAAGAAAAAACAGAGAACACAAAAGAAAATAAAGCTGTCACAAAAAATTAAAAAAGTACTCATGTAAGGCTCACAAGCTCATGTCGATTGCAAAATTACAAAATTTCAGATTTAGGCAAGCAAGGGGAAATTAAAATTAAGTCCGGTGGTTTGTCCCGAAAATATATAAAATTGGTTTAGTTACACGTTTTCCGAACAAATCACGTAGGGACCCATGGGAAAAAAACCAAAGAAAGTATGGTGAATTCCCTGAAGGAAAAGTATTCGAACACCGAAATTTTCAATCACCAAAATCACCGACGTGAGAGGAGATTCGCATATAAATTCATTTTCTCTCACATCTGGTGATTTCGATGAGCTAAAATTCTGGTGAAATCACTGAATTCCCTCCAAGCAATAATATTGAATTGGAACCCCAAAGGGTAGATCTAGACGAGGAAGGAAAGAAGAAAAAAATAAGACCACGATTCTACCAAAAAAAATCATTTCTTGTTCATACAAAAATAAGGAGGAGATGTAGGGTACCTGGAACGATGGAGTTCAACCAATCAATAACTTCTCTTCGAGATCTGAGCTTGAAGAGAGACGAAGAAGGTAAAATCGAAAGAAGAGATCGATCTCGAATAGCGTAGTGATAAGACATGTGCCTCAAACTCTTCTCTTTACCTATAACAACCAGATCTGATGTCCCATCCCTTCGTTTCAGATAGTAATGAACCTCTCTCCTCCCTCTGTCGTTCGACACGTTCACCTCCTCCCACCTCACAAACGCCATCGACGCCTCTTTCCGAAACCCTAATTCACCCAAACAAGGCCCTCTCTCTCTCTCTCTCTCTAGTAGAATTGGGAATTTTTGAGGTTTGAATTGGGGATTTCTCTCTCTCTCTCTGTGTATGTCTGTTAGAGTAATAAGGAGGGTTTGAATGGCATTTTGGAGAGAGATTTATATAGTGGGATGAAGCGGCTGAACCTACCTAGGGTTCGAGACGGGGAGTTGAGAGATTGAGATGGACGGTGGCGATTGAATCAAAGGCGATGACACGGAGGAAAGTCGTAGGAAATTGCGGGCATTTTAAGGTGAATTTTTTTATTATGGAAATACCCCTAGGGAGTTTGGGAAATTACAGAGATTGAAATTACGACGAGTAAGAAGGGTGCTCGAAATTGCCGGTCTAGATTTTTTTCTCTGAAGGACTCGCTTCTTCTTTACACTGATTTTTTTTTTTTTAATTTAAAAAAATTACAATTCATAGTTATATAAAAAATAAAGATAATGATATAATAATTTATAATAATTTTCTTTTATTTTTTGACTATAAAAAGTCTAACTCGCCCAACTGATCTGCACCCACTCGTACAAATTGCAAACCACAATTAAGGTTGATGTAGGTCCATTTTCTTTAACCCGCAATAGTGCGGGTTGGGTCAGACCCACACCCAACCCAACCAGAACCAACTTGCAAGCACTCCTAATAATAGACCTTACAGACCCCTCAAGTTCCCGTATGTTGAAATTTTAATTTGAGATAATCTCAATCCTTTTATTCATATAACTACTAAATTTCCAATAAAAAGGAAATCGAGTGTTATATAAATTAAAATTTTAAAAGAATCTAATATAGGCTTGGTTTAGGAAGTTGGTTTTTAGTCATTTTTTTTTATTTGTAGCAAAAGTTAAAAGTTGATTTTTAGCCAATGATGAAATTACAATTCTACCTTTCATGGGTCAAAACGTGTTACATAAGTGAAATTGTAAATATTTTAAACTAAATAGGGGTAGTTTGGTAATTTTATTTTGATTTGACATCATAAACAAATATTAATCAAAAAAGTCAAAAGTAACTTTTTACCAACTTCTCAAATCATTTGTCTAAAAAAGTTAAAAACTTGGTTAAAAGTAAAAAAATTACTTTTTACTATCTTTCCAAAATAGGCCATAATTATGCTAAATTTGTAAAATTTCTTATAATTTTTTAAAACATCAACAGGAGGTCAGTGTAATTTACTATTACTTTTGAGTAAATTGCACTCACTTTTTTTTGAAGTTTTAAAAAATTTACAAGTTTGATATAGGAGCCATTTGGGAACATTAAAAAAAAAAGAGTCAAAAATCAACTTTTAACTCATTTTTGTAATATTATTTTTTACACAAAAAAATTAAAAAGGCCAAAAAAAATCAAAATGTCAACTTTTAACTATCTTCCCAAAATATTTCATAATTGTATTGAGATTACATTGATATTTCTTAACATTTGGAGAAAATATAACTAAATTTGACTTTATTAAAGTAACTCCAACCATACTGTTCATTTTTTACTAGCTAAAATATAAAAAAAATAATTATTTATTTTGCCTAATTCTTTTTTTATTTATATGCTCCAATGTTATTCTTTATTTTTCTTATTTATATACATCAATTATTTAAAGAGCCCCTCAAGACTTTTCAAATGTAACTAATCTTGAATAATTTTGTTAAAATGACTATTGTAATAGCTAATACATTGAAATGACTAAAATATAATAATATTAGTTATAATAATTAATAAGTCTCATTTAAAGAGTCTTTTGGAGATCATAGTAAATTACATTTACTTGGAAAAAACATAACTAGAAAGAAACAAATGAAAAGTGAAGTTGAAAGGTTCCGTTTGATTTAGTTTTTGAAATAAGTTTTGAGTTGTGTTTTAAAAGATTTTGAAATTAGTTTTGAAAAGAGGAAACTTAGCCTCTGTTTGGGAAGTGGGTTGGCTTTTTGGCTTTTTGGCTATTTTAGCCCGGGCTATTTTAGCCTGGTTTGGGAAGGACTTTTTGGCTTTTTGGCTTTTTTGACTTTTTTTGTGAGAGAGGATTGTAATGATTATGGGTTGGATTTGATGTTTTGTTTTTTGTGGCTAAAATAGCCTATTTTGTTTTTTGTGGCTATTTTAGCCAAAAAAGCCTGGGCTTTTTCTTGCCAAACGGAGGCTTATTTGGTTATGAGTTTTGAAAAGAATTTTGAGTTTTAAGTTATATTTAAAAATTGTTTTGGGTTTTTTTTTTAAATATTTAAAAATTTTCTTAATTTTTTTTTTTTAGGGTAAGTATTTTTTATTGTAAATATTTATTTATTTATTTTAATGTACACTGTATTACTACATTTGTTTTTCATTTTTTCACAATTTTTGTATTGGTTAAGTATAATTTTGATTAGCTAATACATATCTAAAACATAACAAATTATTTTGCCAATTCTTAAAGCCAATTTAAAATTTTACATCAATATATCGAATCCAAATTTGAACATTAGTAAAAGTACCAACCGTAATTCGCTATCATTCGTATTATCCACTTTCACATGGGCCTAGCCCTACAAGCACAAAATATTTTAAATATGTTTTTATTTTAATTATTTTTTATAATTTTTTAAAATATTTTTTTAATTTTCTTTAAATATTTAATTTTTTTTTTTACAATTTAAATTTTTTTTGGATTGCCCATATATATTTAAATCATAACAAATTATTTGGCTAGTACTTAAAAAATAACAAAACATTTTTTTGAAAAAAATAAAATAATACAAAATTATTTTTTTGAAAAAAAAATTAAAAAAATTTTAAAAATTCAAAAAAAAAAATAATGTTAAAGAAAAAAAAATTGAAATTCTTTTTTTTTTTAAATAGAGTTTTAAAAACTTGTTTGGTTAGTTTTAAAAACTTGTTTGGTTATAATTTTTTTTTAAAATAGTTTTGAAAACTTTGTTTGATTATGTGTTTTGAAAAACAACTTAAAATTTTTTTTATCCAAATTATAATTCCAAAAACAACCCAAACGCTGCCGAAATATTTTTATGCAAACAAACGCACATAAGATAAGGATCATGCATTTGAGCATTTGTTTTCCACTTTATATGATTGGGAATGGTATATGTAGAACACACATTCGTGTAACAGTTGTGATTTTATTTCATGCAATTAAACCAAACACAGGAAACAAGAGAAATTTATGGGTGAAGATGGAAATTGAGCAAGTTTTAACATGTGGGAGGTTGTTTGGCATAATTTATATATGTGTATTTATTTAGATAATTGTACTTATTTGAGTCATATCATCTTTTTTTTTTATATATATATATTCATAAAAAGTTAAAAAATATACTTATTTAGATCATCTCAAATATGCACTTACAAATTTATTTATAAGTATGAAATTTGACATGTGAAATGAACATAAAATCTACATCAATGCTAAGAATACCGAATATACTATCAAAATTTTAACACAATATTCGTATGAGTGTGAGACCGATACCCATGTTTCTAGCAGACATGACAGTCACATGGGCTTGAGATCTTAAGTTTTTTTGTAAGAATAAAGTCTATGTGTACATAAACTAAACACATAATAAGACACACTTTTCTCATTAGAAAGTTGTCTCATTATGTATTTAGTTTGTGTGTTTCTACCATTATTGTTTTTGTAAAATCTGATACTCAAGGTTCGTTTGGGAAGAACTTTTTTAGTCTAACTTTTTGACTAATTTAGCTCCATTTTGGAAGAACTTTTTGACTTTTTTGTTTTTTTGAGAGAAAAAACAAATGATTATAATTTGAATACAACATTTTATTTTATTGACTTATTTAGCCTATTTTATGTTTTTGTACTTTTTTAATCCCAACCCAAACCTAATCCACTTGCCAAATTGCAGCTCGAGAAGTTATGGGACACCGCTATGTGGTGCCTTAATAGTGTTGTGATTGGTGAAGGGAATGAAGCTCACGAATTTTGTATTTAGTGATTAAAAAATATGAAGAGACAAAATAAATTGTGATTTGTGAGAAATATGATCACGTGACGCCCTCTGAACCAATTAATAATTTTTCCGGCAACTCAGTTTTGTTGACAGTAAATCCTCAAAAAATAAATAAAGCTTAGGAAGTAAGTTTCTTACTTAATAACTTTTATTTCTCAAAACACCTAAACATTACATGTGGTCACGTCATATTTTGAATTTTAGTTTTTTGTTTCATATCTATTTTTTTCTGTTTTTTTAATTTTTTTTTAAAAAACTAACTTTTATTTCTCAAAACACCTAAACATTACATGTGGTCACGTCATATTTTGAATTTTATAATAAGTCAAAAATATAAGTCAATAAATAATTTAAAATGAAAAAAAATCATATTACACTTTTTCTTTTCTTTTTTTTATAGGTAAATCAGTTATGTTGTTTGGAACTTGCGGTATGCACCACCACCGCTATTAAAATTTCATTGTTAATTACCTTAGGGAGGTTTAATAGATTTTTTTTTTTCAAGTGTTTGTATCTCAATTAATTTATAAGATATTATTGTATTTTAATAAGTCCTATTATTCGTACATTTGATTTACTAAATCTTAACTTTCATATTTAAAGTATTTTATTAACATTTTTACCTTTACAAATGTTTTTTGGCGATTAGTAATTTAGTGATGTGAACATTCACATTTTACAATCTGAATATTCACATTATAAACATTCACATTGACGGTGTAAATATTCGTATTGACGATATGAATATTCATATTGACAGTGTGAACATTCATATCACGAAACATTCACATTATAAATGTGAATATTATTAAGAATATTAATAATTATATCACTCATAAAATTTAATAAAATAATATAAACTAAATAAAATATAAATAAGTTAAAAAAAATTTATGAAAAAATGTCGCATTATCTTATAAGGGAGCGGCCTGCACGACTTTTCACTTCCAGAATATCGATGTTATAATCTCACAAGGCAGTGGTTTGCAGCGATTCCGCTTCTAGAATTTCGTTACTTAAAATAACGAAAGTAAAAAAAGTATTTTTTTTAGTTAAAATAAATCAATTTATGATTTTTTTTTAATTTTTAAAATGCTTATTTTAGAAAAATAAGTTGGTTTTTATTTATTTATTTA